AGGCAATTGGGGTTAAGTGACTTGCCCAAGTTCTGAGACTCTTTTTAAAAATGATAATATAAGATAAATAGCACCCACTTTCTTCACCCAAGTCATCATCACAAAACAGGATGATGCACCAGGATTCGGTCATTCTGGCTGTAAGACCAGCACACCCTATCAGTGGTGACCAAATTTTAAGTCAACAGCTCTGAGTCAGTTTCTTGCTGTGGCTGGCTTCTCTCAGAACTTCCTCCAGGATAATTAGGAGACCTCTTTTCATCACCGCTCTACACACCAGGGAAGTAAGCAGCCAATCATTTCCTCCAGTCCAGGGAAATAAAAGGTCAACCATTTCATCTATTCCGAGGCAGTAAGGGGCCAACCTTTTCTTGGGAGTCATCAAACATGATCTAATTGATGATATCACCTCAATTAACAAACATTGTCTATTTTTCCCTCCACACATAGTAGTACTGGTAGAAAAATGTAAGGTACCCAAGAACAAAAATCCCAATGTAGCAACAAGGCAGTGAATTGCCCAAAAGATCATGTAGCTAGTAACAGCAGGCCCAGATCCTCTGATTCCCAAAGTAGCCCTCTTCTCCTCCCACCATGCTGCCTCTTGTATGATCTTGCTAGCAGCTACATGAATGTTCTGCTTGTATTCACAGGACAGAACTAGAAACAAAAAGGAGAATTTAGATTTGATGTTAGGGAGAAGAAAAAAAAACCTGCCTCAAGATTAGTGCAATCCCAAAATGAACGGATCCCCATAGAAGGTAGCATTGAACGTCTTCGAGCAAAGAATGGGCAAACTCCTTGTGAAAGATGTAGAAGTGATTCTTGTACAACTAACCATTGGACTACATGGGCCTCTGAGGTTCCCTCCTCATCTAAGATCTGTGCCTCTGTGACGTGCCCTGAAGACTTCAACGTGATTATATAATACAATGCTTGATGGGGTGATACTTTGCCTATTCATTATCAACAGCTGTTGTTTGTACTCTTCTCTTTTTTCCTTTCTCCCACCCCCAACACCTTCTTATAGCCTATGCCCCTGAACAAGGAGTGGGGGAAGAGGGGGGACAGAGGTCACCGATCTTCCAGTTTCTTCTCCCCCTGAAACACATTAGATTAGTCAGCCCCTGAGGTTCAATGTACAACTGATCTGTTCTTTCCCACCCCACACCGAACAATAGAAGCAAAGAGTTAGGCAAAAAAGGAATGCTGGTGGCAGTAATCAGCAGATGAACACGGGCAAGAAACAGGTGTGCTGAAACCATCCCAGGAGAGTTATTAGAAAGTTTGCTGACAAGTAGCAGGTTGACTTCAATCCACAGAGGTGAAAATTAAAGATGAAGTGCAAGATACACTCTTACCATATATTGATCCTAATTAGTAAAACCAGACCTAGGTCAAAATGGCACTTGAGGGATGGACAAGAGCCCCACAATTGGGTGGTAATGATATACCAATCTATGTGGAGCCTTGGAGAGAGCACTGGCCCTGGAATCGGGAAGACCTCAGTTCAAATCCAGCTTCAGACTCTTTCTGGCTGTATGACCCTGCACAAATTCCTTAACCTCTATCTCATTTTCCTCAACTATAAAATGGGTTAAATAATAGCACCCACATCACAGAGTTGTTCTAAGGATCAAAAATAAGTTAAGATTTCAAAAGGGCCTTAGCACAGTGCCTGGCACACAGTAAGTGTTTAATAAACACTTGCTCCCTTTCACCTCCTACCACCTCAAAGAAATAACTGCCCATTACACATAGAAGGCCAGAAGTGAGACAGAATGAGCCCCAGAACTTTTAGCTCCTGGCATTTCTTCAGAGAAGCTGATCATACTGAATTACAGAAAACTATTTTAAAGAAGAAAAAAAAAATCAACCTGATCTGGTTAGTCAGACCTTGGCACCATTGAAACCAAAGTAGAGAAATGATACTCTGCAGATGAGAGAGAGACGATGTCTCTATCCAGAAGAAAGTCCCAGGAACTGATTCCTAACTTGGCATACTTACTCATTACTATTCTAAAAAGCACTGGATCAGTGCTACTGATCATCGTACCAACAAGGCTAGCCAATCAATTGATTTAAACAGTTAGGATGTACAGAAAAGCCCAAAGCCCAGATTTCAATGCTACCATTTAAGTTCTTCATTACCTGGTGGTGGGATTTTTTTTTCTTTAAGCTCACTATTCTAATTGTTATTGTTATGAAGACCTTTGGCAGCTTTACATTTCTTAACTCACCAGGTTTTTAATAAGTGGAAGAAACACTACTCTATCATGTTTGAGAGACTGCTTTGTCCCTGTGCTTTGAATAGAAACAAAACCAGACCCTGTACTCTGCCCTCTTGGGATCCTATCTGGAGTACTGTGTTCAGTTCTAACCATCTCGTTTTCAGAAGTCAACAAGCTGGAGCTTATACAGGAGAGTGACCAGGATAGTAAGAGTACTAGAGATCATTCACACATATCCGTATGTGTACACATGTGTATATATACACATACATGTGCATCTATAGATGCATGTGTACATGTGTCTTCCACATGGCCCATACATATACACACATACATGTCTGTGTGTATAAATGTGGGAATGTATTAACAACCTTTGAAGGAATTTAACACATTTATCCTGGAGAAGAGAAGTCTCCAACGTAGACACAACGGCAGACTAGAAGTATTTAAAGGGCTGGCAGAGATGTTGTGTAATGAGGAAGAGGGAACTGGGCTTGCTGCCTGGTCCCAAAGAGCAGAACTAGGAGAAATGGGAAGAACTTGTGGGGAAGCAGATTTGTGGGTCAGTCAGTCAGTCAGTAAGCATTTATTAAGTACCTACTATATGACAAGAGCTAGGGATACAAATACAAAGAAAGACAATCCCTGCCCTCAAGGAGCTTAGAATATAATAGGGGGAGGCAGCTAGGTGGTATGGAGTCAGGAGGACCTGGGTTCAAATCTGGCCTCAGCTCTGGCACGTGATGGAGAAGTACCAATAAGTCCATAATACAGTTAGTAGGAAATAGGGAGAGGCCTGTGATGGGACTCCTCCTTATGTGGTTTTGAGGTTCATGGCTCTGGTCTCCAGTTGGAGGGTCCAGAGTGGCAGAGGATACTGATGAGATTTGGACCTGATGTAAAGAAAAACTCCCTAACACTGGAATAAGCTGCCTTGACAAGTACGGGTTTCCCCCAGTAAAAGGTCTTCAGTGAAGGCTAGATGATTTTTTTTTGGGGGGGGGTATGTTGCAAAACGAAAAGATGTTCTGTAAAGGACTTTGCAAACATCTGAGCTCTATGGCAATAGCTATTAGAAAAGGGGATTCCTATGCAGGCACAGGGAACTGAATTTAAAGTTGGTAAAGTTTGAGGCCAAATAGTTCAACTCCCTCACTGTACAGATCTGGAAACTGAGGTCCATAGGGGTTAAGTGACTTGCCCAGTGTCACCAAGGATGTAAGTTGCTGACTGGGATTTGAAGCTCTATCTCCTCTGCCTTGAGATTCAGTGCTCTTCAGTGCTCTAGATGGCTTCCCAGGTCCCTTCCAATTCTGAGAGAGAGACCAGGCCTCCTTTCAAAGCTTCTGAAAACATTCCAAGACTACAACAAAGCATGCAATGAACTTCTTCAAGGAGGACACAGTGGTCCTGAAGATTTCATTCCAAATCTGTATGCAATAATCACCTAATGCCAGGCTATATATCACAGGCTATATATCTTTTTTGGAAAACACATACAGTAGAGCAACAGAAAACAGGATTGCGAAAAGGCCTTAAAAGGGACCTAATGTGTTCATCCACGATTAAAGGGCAAAGTCAAAACCTGCCAAAGAGTAAAAATTAGGACATACACCATGAGCCTGACCAGGTAAGACTCTCTGGGGTACAACTCTTTTTATAAGATCTGTTTTGTTTGTGGTACTCCTGACAATCTACATGTCCCACACTAGTGTGACAGCCAAGATTCCCTCACTCCCATTCTTAAGTGAGGGGGGGAAGGAAGTGATACAACTGAGGGGGTCCACTTCTCCTGAACCCGGGTGCCAAGCCCACCTCCTCCTCACCCAAGGCTTCTTGAGGGCATCTCCTGGAGTCAACATCAGGATCATATCCATGAAGCAGCAAGTTTTACAACAGCCACCGCCCGGAAAATGTGAGTGGTGCCCCCGTGTTCAGTTCTGCCCCCCACGCCGCCGACTCGCCCAGCCCGGCCCAGGTACACAGAGCTGGGTCTCCCACCCCTCCCAGCCGCGCTCGGCTCCCCGGTCCCGGCCTTCTCCCCCGCCCATCCGGCCTCCTGCTGTCTCCATTACTCAGCGCTGCTCGAAGTGGGAGGCCTCCCTGCCCCACCCCGCCCTGCACCCCCATCAATGGTAGGGAGGAAGGCTCCCTCACTTAGAAGCTGCCCCCAAAACGCAGAGAGTCAAGGCTGGAGATAAGGCTGCCCCCAGTTTCAGGGCAGGGTTGGGCGCATGAAGAAGGGGACACAAACGCCTCTCCCTAGGCGTTCCTGGGGGGCGCGGGCTGGGGCACAGAGAGGGGGCCGCTGCCCGCCCCCCTGGCCAGGGAGGCGCTCAGCAGGACGCGTTCCTGGAATCCGACAGACTTGGCGTAGCCCCGGTGTTCCCTGCGCTAGGCGAAGCGGGCCCTTGCCGTGCGCTTAGCCCCATGCCCTGTCCAGGCCCAGGGCGGCCCCACGTGGGGGCCCGGACAGCAGCTGGGGGAGCCGCAGCCGAGAGGGAGAAGCCAGGCTTCAGCTCGCACGGCAGCCGGAGGGAACACCAGCAGCCAGGCCCCAGGCCGCCGAGTCCCCGCCCGGGGCCGCCCAGGGTTGATTACCTGCCCACCGTGGTCCCCGCGCCTCCGCGGATCTGAGCTCAGGGCTGGGGGGCGCAGACAGGCAATCAGCCCACCTGCCCTTCTTTCCCTCGGACCCGCAGGCCGGCCTGGGACCCCACCCCACCCTCGCGCCCCTCCAGCCAGCCGGGGGGGGGGGGAGGAACCTACCGTCCGTAGCCACCATCTCGATGAGCGTCTCGCTCCCGCGCTTGGCTAGCCGGTTCATGGCTCCGCAGCGGCCGCCTCGGGGCCCGCCCGGCGGCTGGAGCGGCGGCCCAGCGGACGCACGGGAAAGTTTCGGAAAAGAGCCGAGACCAGCTGGGGAATCAGAGCTGGAGGAGGGCACCGCCTCCTCCCTCCCTTCCTCTCCTCCCTCCTCCGCCTTTATTCGGCTCCGGGGATCCCCTCCCTCCTGCCCTCCCCCATCCCCACCCAGGCTCCACCGAGGCCGCCGCAAGTCCGAGGTAGGCTCACTCCAATCGAGATTCTTAGTGTCGGAGAAGAAAAGCCCGCCCCTTAAAGGGCAGCACGGCCACATACCGTCCTTGGGAGGGAGGGGCGTGGGCGTGGAGTGAGCCTCCGGGTACAGAGAGGGGAGGCTCTGGTTGTGAAGATCCCGAGGAGACAGCGGCAGCAGCCCCGTTTGACTTGTTGGGGGTTAAACTGTGTTTGGGATTCATTGGGGGGGGGGGGTTAGTAGCATTTATTTATCTGTTGCTGTATGCCAGGGACTGGGTCAAGCGCTTTAAAAATATCATCTCATTTGAAGCTCCCAACAACTCTGAAGTACGTGAAGAAACAGGTAGACAGTTTAAGTGACTTGCCCAGGGTCGAAAAACTGGTGTCTGAAGTCGAATTCGGCTCAGGTCTCCCCGACTCAAGGCAAAGCTCAGCCAGCTTTTTTCTTGCATATACAGTAGAAGTGAATCTACCCAGCCTGTTGCTGTGGTCCAAGATACCACACCTCCCTGTTTCAGTTTCCCTGTTTGTAAAATAAGAGGATTGTACTAAATGGTCTCCCTTCCAACTCAAGATCTATAATCCTATGATTTGTTAAAAGCTATCAGTGAGCAATGCAAGGATGTAATACTAATAGCTAGCGTTTACATAAGGCTTTAAGGTTTGCAAAGCTCATTACAAATATTATCTCATTTTATCCTAACAAGCTTGGGAGTTAGATCCCCATTTTAGATGACTTTACTGAGGCAGAGTTTAAGTGTCTTGCCCAAATCCTATGAACCTGAGTTAGCAGGAGGTCACCAATGCCCCTGGGTTTGGGGAGCACCCAAAGGTAGTGGGAGCCTGTCCTCAAACAGGCATTTGTCTCCCCTCCCTCTCCTCCTTTATTTGGTTACTCCCCTCCCCCTTCATTTTCTTTCATCATAGATTCAAAGCAGGAAAGGACCTGTGGGGTTATCCCTTACTACCTCATTTTACAAATAAGGAATCTGAGACTTTGATATTAAGTAATTTGGCCAGAGTCTTATGGAGTAGTGATAGTAAAAGTAAGATTTGAACCCAGGTCCTCTGATTGTGAATCTATAGCTTTTTCTATTAGACCACACAGTCTTACCTCCCCACACTTTTCTCCTCTAGGCCTTCACCCCTGAAAAACCTTTTAAGGTAGGTACTTTGGGCCTTGTAAGACCTAACAGGGGTGGGAAACCTGAGGCCTCAAGGCCACCTGTGGCCCTCTCAGTCCAACAGTATCCAAACTTCACAGAACAAATCCAATAAAAGGATTTGTTCTGTAAAACTTGGAGTCAGTCAAAAGGCCACACCCAAGGACCTAGAAGGCCACACCCAGGTTGATACTGGAAATTGTCACCCTGGTGATGTTGCCTTCTAGCTGTAGAAGGAAATGGCAAATGACTCCAGAAGGGCAGCTAGGTGGCAGAATGGATGTAGTGCTGGGCCTGGAATCAGGAAGACTCATCTTTCTGAATTCAGATCTGGCCTCAGACACTTACTAGTTGTGTGACTCTGGACAGGTCACTTCACCCCATTTGCCTCAGTTTCCTCATCTGTAAAATGAGCTGGAGAAGGAAATGGCAAACCACTCTAGTATCATTGCCAAGAAAACCCCACATGGGGTCATGAAGAGATGGACGTGACAGAACAATAACCGTCTACTACATAAAGACTAAACTTCACTGTCATGTTTGTGTGGTCCTCTTGGCTTATAGCATTCTGTGAAATTTGCTGGGCATGTGATTCAGGGGCTATAAAGACACATGCATCCACCCAGACACCTAGCACTAGGCCATAGACCTTGCAGGCATTTGTTGAAAAAATAATTTACAGCTATTTTGACTCCAAGGTATTATGATGTTGTAAAGGTAGATGTTGTGATGTGTGTGTGATGAATGTAGGCGTATGATGTTGTGAAGGTAGGAGTAACACAACTTGGCCACAGATTGGACTTGCATGCCAGTGAGAAGTCAAGAAAGACAGCAAGTTTGTGATCCCTGGTGACTCAGGGTGATGATTTCCTTGACAGTGAGAGGAAAATTGGGAAGATGGGATAATTTTGGAGGAAAGAGAAATGAGTTCCATTTTTATCATGTTCAGTTTGAGACATCTATGGGAAATCCAGATCCAGATGTCCAATGGATGATTTCTGACATGAGACTAGAAGTCAGGAGAGAAGTTAAAGCTGACAAATAGATCTTAACACCAGCTACATAGAGATCATTGAATCCATGGAAGCTTATGAGATCAGCAAGCAAAATAGTATACAGGAAGAAGAGAAGAGGGTCCAGAACAGATCTGTAACTGACATCCACAGTTAGTGGACCTGGCCTGAAGGAGTATTCAGCAAAGGAGACTGAGAATGAATGGTCAGACAGTAACAAGAGAACCAGGAGAGAGCAGTGTCAGGACAACCTTGAGCAGAGAAAGTATCCAGGAAAAGAGGGTGATCAAAATTATCAAAGGTTTCAAAGAGGTCAAGAAGCAAGCAGACTGAGAAAAGGTTATTAGATTTGGCAAGTAAGAGGTCTCTGGAAACTTTGAAGAGAGCGGTTTCAGTGGAATGATGATAATGGAAGCCAAACCTCAGAGGGTTTAGAAGAGAATGAGAGGAGAAGTGGAAGCACCAATTTTAGATGGCTTCCTCAAAGAGTTTAGCTGTGAAAGGCAAGATATGTGTATGTGTGTATATATGCATACATGCATGTGTGCATGCATGACTATGTATACATATAACATGTGTACATATCCTATGTTGTATATATAATATACAATAATTACGTTTTATATATATCATGTATAATATATAAATATAATTGTATATATATTCACATATACATGTATGTATATGAGTATGTACTTGTGTGTATGTTTGTGTTTGTGTGTGTTCATAGCCATCACAGGGATGGCCGATTCAAGTGAGGCTTTTTAAAGAATGGAGAAGACATGGACATTTTTGTAGGCAGCAGGGAAGGAGTCATGGATTGTCAGAGATTGAAGATTAGTGAAAGAGAGGAGATGATTAAGAGAAAAATCTATTGGAGGAGATGGGATAGAATGGGATCAAGGATGCATACTCTTAATTTCCTTTTGGGGCACCAGGAGTTCCTATTAAAGCTTTGGACAGAAGGCACGAACTAAGAATTAAATAATAATATATGAAGTAAAAAAAGGAAAGGGATAATATTCTTATATGTGGTTTATGACTGTGTTGAATGAGTGGAGAAACAAGCACTCTCTAATTTTTCTCTCCCTATCTAGCTGTTTCCAGCTCTGCACTTCTCTGCCTCCTTTTTGTCTCTCTCCAAATCTGTCTCTTCATCTCTCCCTTCTTTGGTCTTTCTATCTGTCCTAATTCTTCTCTAAACCTACATTTTTCTTTCTGTTCCTTAACTGCTCATAAAATGGAACTGACATGCAAGTTTAATACTATAGGTTTCTGTAGATATGAAATAAATTTTGGTATTGTTATTTTTAAATGTATCAGAATAAAGATTTATACTTCTCAAAGAAAAAATAGAAAACATTCTTTTTTTCCCCCTTTACTTCTCTTATCATTCTTGCCTGTTTGTTATTGTTGATTTTCCTTTGGATGCCTGGCTATTAATTCAATTAAGCAAGCATTTATAAAGGACTTATTATATGCAAGCCACTGTGGTAGGCGGTGGGGGAAGGCAAAGATAAATCACACAGTGTCACTGCCCTCAAGGAGAGGCAACGTGGCATAGTGGAACTACCATGGGACTTGGATTTAGGAAATACCGGTTTGCTTCTGTAGTTAGAGGATTTGCTAGCAAAGCATAGACATGCCATTTGATGTCTTGGAAAATCACTTTCCTCATCTTTAAAGTAGTGATGATGTCATTTTTAAAGAGCTGGATAAAACTGAGCTATTATTTGGAAACTTATAATCTAGTAAAGCTTGTAAATCTAGAGGCAGCTAGGTGGTGTACCTATAGATATAGATAGAGCACCCCTGTAGAGTCAGGAAGACTTGAGTGCAAATTTGCCCTCAGATACTTCCTAACTGTGTGCTCCTGGGAAAGCCACTTTAATTTCTATTTGCCTGAGTTCCCTCATCTGTAAAATGGGGATAGAAATAGCACTTACCTCCCAGTTGTGGTGAGGATCAAATGAGATAATAATTGAAAGCACTTAGCACAGCATCTGACACATAGTAAGCTAAATAAATAAACAAACATTAGTTTTCTTTCTTCAAATATACTACTACTAATAATAATGTATTCAGATATAATAATAAGTTATAACACATGGTATCCCACAAAGTCTTAGTGCTGTTTTAAGCAATAAAGGCTTAATTGTAAGCCTTTTGGGAAACCTAACGTATACGCATAGGGAGGTACAAGAAAAGCACCATAATGGACACAGGGAAAGAGCAAGTCACTTTTAATTGGGAGGGTTAAGGAAGGCTTCGTGGGAAAGGTGACATTTGATCTGAGTCTCAGGTTCAAAACAATTATTTTCCAGGAATATATTATATGTATATGTATGTGTATGTATATATGTATATGTATATATTTTTATATATGTCTGTGTATGTATTAGCTTTCCAGTAGACATAGCTAGTTCATCTGAAAAAACAAAAAACCTTTCAGGAACTCAATGTGAGCCAACAATGTACTATGATAGCTAAGAGGGCTATGATCCTAGGTTGCACTAAGAGAGTTACGGAAAGTGACCAGAATCAGAGAAGTCACTATCCCTCCCACCATACAATGAGCTGATCAGACCATATCTGGAATATTCTAGATAGCATATTTTAGGATGGACATTTTTATCAAACTCAAGATCTTCCACAATAGAATGTCTAAGATAAGGATTATATAATGTATGATTGGTAGGAGAGACTGAGTACTGTTTTTTGGCTATCTTTAAGTGTTTAAAAGGCTGTTATATGAATGAAGGACGTGACATGTTCTACATGGTTGCAGAGATCAGAACTAAAAGTAATGGGGG